AGAACCTAGATACCTAAATTTCTCTACCTGTTCAAACATATTACCATCTATATTGATATCACCAGTAGTATCGCCATTTTTGCAGCTAACCATATATTTTGTTTTATCCACGTTTATATACATTTTATACGTTTATATATATCTTTTGTTTATATACATTTACTTTTAGTATTATAATTTTTCTGCATTATTTATTTTTATTTATTGTAAATAGAGTGTATGCGCTCCCTGTTCTCTCTGAACACTATTACAAATGTCCTTAATTGTGACAAATTGTAATATTTCGTAATAAATTAGTTCTAAAAAAAAAATTAAAGATTTACTGTTGAACCAAGGATTGATCCATGGAGCATGATACAGAATAACTAATTACCCGCCATCAGACGGATTCAAACCTCGGACCTTAAGCTTTGGGAATCAATCCCTTACCCACTGAGCTACCCTATTCCTTAGGCTTCTATAATACTGCTGAAAAATTGTTTATTAATACTCAATAAGTAACGAAATATCTATATGGAGGAGAAGAGTTAAGCAAGTATATAGTACTTAATACTTGAATAGTATCATTGGCAAATAATGCAGGATGATGAAATAAAGAAAAAGTCCAAGCTCATAAAATAGAAAAGCAGTGAAGTAGCAAAATTTATTTCAAGAGGAACTGTTCTGAAATTCTAAAACAAAAACTATATAATATAACTATTTTTTAGGTTAAATAAAAAATTAATAAAATATTCCATAGGTCAAAAAGTCAGTGAGATATATTGTCGATTTGTTGCGTAAAGGCATATTTCATAGCCTCAAATAATTAAGATAATCAAATAACTTTGATGAATTTTCCAATTAATTAATAAAATTATCTGTGTTATTTTCATGCACTTACAGTACTTTTGTACAGATAAATAAGGTCAAAATTCACAAAAATATATTTGAAAGTTAACTTACATCGAAAATGCACTTAGTGACTTTTTGCAATAAACTATCGATATGGGCCTTGATATATTACATGCTAGTCATCATAAGATTAGACAAAATAAATATAGTTCAGAGGAATATTGAATATTAATAAGAAATAAGAAAAGAAAAACAAGAATGAAAACTGGAGATGAGAGAAACAATATTCTGTAATTTTACCTCTGAGAATGGAAACAATGGAGAAGTCGTTACAAAGTAATACAAAATCAAGAAATCCAAAAATCATTTGAGTAGTGTTAAAAATAATATAATGGAAACTCTTCACAACTAAATGGTGCTAAATAAAGGAATGAGCAAAAGAATTATAATTAGTTACTTGTATCTATTTTAATCATTGATGCACAATTATATTTTTAAAATTAAATAAAATGTACCACTACAGCTGATGAACAATCTTGAATTTAGTACTTTATAAGGAAGTAATGTTTCTATGCCAACAGTACAAAGAGGTGAATTAGCTGGAACCACATCCAAATACAAGAACTTCCTCCAAATTAAGAGTACAAACTTTATAGAGGCTGAGTGTGCCATGGCAGGGTCTCTCGACCACAAAATTATTCCTCATCCAATAAAATAGAGTAACTAATAATATGGCATCATTCAACTTTATAATTAAATGAATAATTCAAACACAAGCCCAGCAGAATGGGAGCACAGTGCCTTATGCACTTAGCTGTAATGCTTCTGTCATAATAATATTATAATATATTTGATTTAATCTATATTAAATAGTTGGAAACAAAATATGCAATAAATGTGAACTGCAAAACGAACCCTCAGCTCACAGATAATTTTGTGCTGTGTTTATATTTCTTCTTAAATTCAAATTGTTTATATTTTTACTTTTAATTTTATATCCACTGCTGTATGTCACTTACATGACACAATAAGCAAATATGATATAAATATAATATATAAAATAACAAGCATGTTAGACATGAGAGAAAGTTTATATATTTAGTTTAAAATTCATAGAGCGGGGTATCTCAGTGGGTGAGCATTGACTTCCAGAGCTTAAGGACCCAGGTGTGAGTCCAGCTGATGACTAGTCATTTTTCATCAGCAGTAGATTGACCCTAGGGTCGGGAGAACATCCTGAGGTATACCCAGCCTCTATAAAATGGGTACTCTTAATTAAATAATTAATTAAGGGAGAAAAACTGGCGGTTGAGCATGACATTGACCCAATCAGCTTCCTGCATAACCATTGAGCTTGTAACAATACTACCTCGCATAGTACTAAACCCAAGACCCTATAGTGGTATAGCTTCTTTTTTTTTTTTTCTTTTTTTATTCATTATACCTCTAATGAAATTATATTATATTTCAACATTCTTAACATTAAACAGAACAAACATACAAAATTTAATGACACTAAGTGAACCATGATGTGGTAAGTTATATTATTGCAATAAGTTCTAAAATATTTACCTTCAACTCATTAAATTAATGAAAACAATAAGAAAAAATGTTAACTTCTCAGGCGACATAATCACAAAGAATTTATTAAATTAAAGCTATAATCTACTTATATATATCTGGCTTTTTCACAACCAATTTTTAAAAACTTGTAATTCAAATGCCTGTTTAAACTTTTAAAATTTATAAATACTGGGGTTCAGCAAAACAAACACACATAAACAAAATACAAACAGCACAATCAAAAATTTTATGAAAAATTGTTAACGCACCTTGGTACATTTCAAATACTACATAACGACTTTAACACCCCAACAGTAAAATCCTACATCCACGACAAATATACTACATTTCATTCTTCAACCCAAAATCACTCCAATCCTCTGGTTCTTTCTATCTTCTGTTCCCTGTTACCTGAACCACGCAGATTAAAAAGAAAATGGCCAAGAGACCTACTATACCAATAAAAACCATATCAAACAAATACACAAAGACAATACAAACACAACAAATTTGCTAGATGCGCAGCCGCGCAGGTGCAAATTGCATAAAATATAAATAAATACATAAAATAAATATAAATACTTAAGCTTGTAACATTTATCAACATTACAAGCTTAAAGAGGCTTAAGTTTATAACATTCTAATACTTTAATATTATCACTTGAATCTCATTAGTAAAAATAATAATCATTCAAGCAACCAATGATCTTAAATTAAAAATTTTAAAATATGGGATTACTTAAATTATAATAATGGTTTAGGGTACTATATACATAGTAAATCTTAATTCATCGTTCATTTGAATGAAACAATTAGTTTATATCTTTCATCACTAATTTTTTTATAAAACTAATAACACTTTTCATATGACATCTGTTTTTCTGTAACATCAGTATCTATTTAAAAGTTTCTAGTTTAGACAATTTATTTAACCTAATGAAAAAGGTTATTAAGGGAGAATAGATCAAATTTCATATTGTACAATTAAGAAAGTTAATAAAATAATTAGGTAAATAAATCAACAACTGCAAAATGTTATATATTATGTATTTTAAGAGGTAAGTCTGATACAAAGAAAAAAAACTTATTCACGCAGACTATCTAAGTGATAATTAAAACATCTTCACTTTGATGGTCTCAGTGATAAAGTTTTCTTTTTGTATTCTGATGAACGTTTCTAAAATTTCATTGAAATATGTAATTGAATAAAGTTGTACTTACATAGTATCTTCAGATATTCGCCAGACTTCATCAAATTATTGATGATTTCAAAAATTTAAAAATTAAACAAGATTTTCAAGTAAAAGAAAATTCAAACAGAACCGCTCTAGAAACACAACGTTAACCTCCAGGCCGGCTAGGAGATTCAAACCATTCTCGTATTTAACTTGGAATGAAAAACAAATATATTTCTTCATTTTAAATGTAAACTAAATAAAATAGAATGAATAACAGCTAAATCTAGAATGTTCGTAAAATAAAACTGAAAAGTTGGCGGGTCTTGAGTCCGCTAATGGTCTATAAGGAGAAATAATATCCTATTATTAATATAGCTCCTATTTTTTCTCTTTAGCTTTAAAAATACTAAAATTGAATTTTAATTAAAATATGTTATATATTTAATTAGTAGATGTTATACAAATGTAACAATTTAGTAACTATAAAATAGCGGTTAAAAAGCTCAAGGTGCAGTTAGACATTTCACAAACTACGAAAAACAAAATTATCTAACTTAACTAACACCGATATGATTGCTAAACCAAAATATTTATTTTATTTCTCTTGTTGCCGACAGCAGATAGAAAATATCAAAATCCATAAACAAAAATACTAGCATAATGAAATAACCATCTATATATGTGTTTGTCCTATAATTTGTGAAATGTCTAAACGAACCATCAAATCAATACAAATTTTTTCCCCCAGCAACAATTAAAAAAAATTTGATGTGGAGATATTGACTGGTGGTAAAAAAAAAAAACGGTACAACTTGATTTTACAGATAAACTGATGATTAAAGAAATATTTTTGAGTCCAAAGTAATAACAGGTACTTGACGTATCTTGAAGTGGATTACCATGTATTAATCCTTGCATGAATCTCTCTAGGATTAACAATACAAGTATTAAAATATAACGTAGACTTTATATCAGTTTGTTTCCAGTTGCTTATTCAATCGCATTGGTGTCGCTATAGTGTTTGTTTGTTTTTTTCTTGAAAAACAATATTTTATTTATCTCAAATAATTTTAAGAGTGTAAAATGGTTTTGGATCGCGTGACAGCCGCTCAGATTTCTGTGTTACTATTAACTATTTTCAGTAGAACGGTCGAAGTCAGCGACACGCGGCCTGAGTCCACGAGCAGTGTGAAACAACGATTCGACGGACAGTCCAGAGGTATCCAGAGAATGGAATCTACGCTAGGAGACCGTGATCAGGCCATCCAAGAGCAACAGGTCAAGCTAATAATTGCTTCATTGCTATGGAGACCCTCAGAAACAGCGACCAAGCTTCAGTTGAAACTTCTTATCGATTGCGGAGATCCGACGACCGAAAAAAGAAAGAAATTATTATTATTATTTAATGGCGCTACAACCCACAAGGAGTCAGGACCTCCTGTAATAATCTCCGCCAGTCCTGTCTTCTTTGTGCCGCTGCTCTCCAGTTTCTATTTCCCAGGATGGAATCCGATGCCACACCATCCTGCCAGCGTAAAAGAGAAAGAAAGGAAGGTCTAAACTTCGTTGGATAGACGATGTAGAGGGAAATTTCCCACCTCTAGATATTCGAGGGCAGCCGATACCATGGACAAGTTTCATTTTCATGGACAAATTTAATTTTAAATTAAATAGACCTATACTGCCAGCAGTGGCATACGCATACTGCTGCTACAACCCGTATTGCCTATAAGGCAAGACAGGGGGAAAAAAACAAGAAGATCCGACGACCCCGCTGTCTTTCCATTATCGATATAGTGAACTCTACCTAAAATTTAATAGTTATGAAGTAGCACAAACAAAAAAATAAAGTTCTATTATCTCATAAGTATTTCAATTTTCTGAAATTGAGCATTTCAAAATACAGTTTCTAAATATTTTATAACAAATAATTAGTTACCAGCAACATTTATAAATTTTAAATGTGACTTTTGATTTAATATTTTTCGGTTTTTATCTTAATTGTATTGGAAACTTTGTACTTCAATGTCAAATATATCGATGTAAACTTGGTTATGTATAACCTTCTACATAAACATCACGTGGTTGATGTACAAGTTTTAGTTGAGGGATTTGCTTATTTTGAATTGTAGTTGATATATTTTTAAGTTTAATTGTTATAATTATAATAATGTCTAATATCATTTATATGCGTGAAGATGGTGTCAAACCAGCCTCTGCTGATTTTGAAGAAAACTGGACACTTAAAAAGTATCAAGAGGAATTGGTTATAAAAGTTATCAAACATGATAGTTCTGAAATGGAATTCGATATTATTGGAATATTTCCTGCTCTTTGCAATGCCTTTAGAAGGATTTTAATCTCTGAAGTACCTACTATGGCCATTGAAAAGGTAACTATGATTCAAAATAAGACTATAATACCTGATGAGATTCTGGCCCATCGTTTTGGGCTTATTCCTTTGAAAGCCAACCCAAGGTTGTTTCAGTATAGAATGCCAGGAGACTTAGTTGGAACAGATAGGGACACGCTCAACTATGAATTAAAAGTCAAATGTGTCAAAAATCCTCATAGGCGTGCTGGACATTACAGGCTAGAAGACATGTATTTAAATTATGAAGTTCTTTCAAAGGATATCAAGTGGATACCTTTTGGTGATCAGAAGTTACTTTATAAGGAGGAAGATATGGGTGCGATACAGGATGATATAGTGATTGCAAAAATGAGACCTGGCCAGGAACTTCATGTTAAATTGGCTGCAGTTAAAGGTATTGGCAAAGATCATGCAAAATTCTCACCTGTAGGAACAGCCACTTACAGGTTACATCCACACATCAAGCTTTTGGACGATGTGATTGACGATCAGGCAGAAAGATTGAAACAATGCTTTTCAAAAGATGTAATTGAAGTAGTTAACAAAAGTGGCCATAAAATAGCTCAAGTGAAGAATACTCGAATTGATATGTGTAGTCGTAATGTACATAATGAACCTCAACTTAAAGATAAAGTGGAAATAGGTAGAATTAGAGATCACTATATATTTACGATTGAATCTGTCATAAGTAGTCCTCCTGATGAGCTGTTTCGGGAATCTGTTAAAATAATGAAGAAAAAATGTGCTGAAGCTTTAATTGAATTGAAAAATATGACAATTAATGTCGATGTTAGCTGAATTCTGTTGCAATTAATTTATTTGTTTTATATTTTACTTGTAAGTTTTGTAAATATTATTAATTATTCTTTGTAAATTAAATATATATACGTCTTTAAAAGTACTTATTTTTTTTACTGATTATTTTTCCTTTGAAAGCAAAAGAACACTTCTAGTAAGATATATGTTTCTATATGAATAAATTGTTGACCTTTTATAAACAATTATTTTTATTTAATTTCTTTCATTAGTTCTGACAATGTTTTGGCTATCAAGAGCCACTTTCAAGAACTGAAAAGTAAAATACATTAAATTAAAATATTTTTATTTTCAGACAAATGTTCTATAGCTTAACGGCATAAATGTGATATAATTTTAATATTATATGATATACATTGTTTTAATCTTAGAAAAAAAACTTTTATTCATTTAAAATGTTTACTAATATTTTGGTGTTCTCAATTTCGCCTGAGAAAGAAATTTGATCATGATAGCAAAAGACAATTGAATCTCAAATAAGATAAATGAAATTAGTATGCATGATGGGTAGTTTTAAATTAATATTATATTTATTCTGATATACTTAGTCAAGTTATCAAATAATGTATGTATTATAAATAATTGAAGTATCTTAAATTATTTTATAGTTTTGTATTTGAAAATGGCTCCAGATAGCCATTATTGGGCACAATAAAGGGAAATAACAGAATTTAAATAATAAGAATTTTCGGTGTCCACTGACCAAAAATTTATTTAAAAAAAAAATATGTTATAGTATGGAAGATACTGTAAATTGTTGTTTGTAACCCTGGACTGGATCATCTGCATTGTGATGTTAAATTACCTGTTTTTTTTAATACCGTATTTTACCATTATCACTTTTCCTGCATAAGAGAAATTAAATATGCTTGAATATTTGGAATAATAATAATAATAAGGCTTAGCGAACCCGAAGGTTCGATGCCGACACCACCAATCGTGAATATTTGGAATAGATTTTCAAATTTTGTTATTCTAGTTTAATTGAAATACTTTCAATAAGTAAAAATTTCTATGGTATAATATTTGAAAAAAGATTTTTTTTTTTAAACTATGTTATTTTAATTTAATTAACATATCTCACATTAAGTAAGAATGCTAATGGTATGGAAAAAAAAAAACAGTTTTAATCAAAAATATCTAAAATTAATTCTCTAATTCTGTTGTAAAGGAAAGATTTTTTTCTGTTCACAATAGTGTTAATCTTGTAATAACAAAGGATTAAGCTTTACTGAATGAAATTGGTCAGCATTAAAGTCTCTGTCTAATTATACAAGAGGGTGTTCCAGTTCTTAATGGCCAAACTCAGGGAGATGATTATAGATGAAATTTCATTAGCTGCATAGGCTGATTTTGGACAAAAAAGGAATTATGTCCAATTTTGTCTTTTCTTAAGGTGGTCATGGTTTCCCTTTCATAGGAAGAGATAACACGGAAATTATTTAATTCAGGTAATTAAAAATTGCTTTAATAGTGAACTAGACAAATTAATTTCCTTCGTATACAAGTAGAGTTTGTCTTTTTCAAAACTATTTAAAAGGGACTTTTGAGTGGCCAAAATAAGCTCAGTTATCTTTTCATTTAATCATGGACTAATCTCGATGTTTTTTTCATCTTACAACTATACTGTAGATACCCAACTTTTCATATAATTCTTTGTTTGATAATCTTTAATTGCATATCATTAGTAATAACTTTAAAATGGTATTGGTGTGATTTATGTGGCATTTGGATTTTCAATTCCTCGATTACGGCTATTTCTGAAATATTCCATTTCCTGTAGTTACTTAATAGCATAAGGATCAATTTCCGCAATAGATATATGTTATAAACAATGGTTCATTATCAACTTAGATAATAAATTTTTGAAAAAGCAGTATTATTTTAATATTCTTTTAATGAATAAAAAATGTATTTCATAAACAATTTACTAAAATAGAAGAATAGTTTCTTGATTGTTATTTTAGCTGAACATTACAGATATTCTGGAGAAACAGAATATCAAATCACATAATTTTCATACAAATAGAGGTGAATCTCAAACCTATTCTGTAACAAACATCAACTAAATTGATACGTAATTAAAGCTTATTAAATATGGAAGTTTTTATAAAAGAGGGGTATCTGTAGTATAGTTGTAAGATGATAGAGCATCATGAAAAATCCATGATTTAACGAAAAACACAACTTAGCATAGTTTGAGCGCTTAAAAGTCCTCTTAAATAACTTTGACCAAGACAAACTCTATTTGTGTTCGAAGGAAATTTTGTCTAGTTTACTATGAAGTAATTTTTAATAACCTGAATTAAATAATTTTTGTGTTATCTCTTCCTATGAAAGAGAAACCGAGTCTACCTTAAGAAAAGAGAACATTGGAACTCCTTTTCCATTCGAAATTAGCCCATACATCAAATGAAATTTTTTGTTATAAATTATGTCTATAATCACCTACCAGAGTTCGCCTATTAAGAACTGTGACACCCTGTATATTAACTTAATGATATGTAATAACCATTGTATAATCATTGGGGAGTCATTGTGAGCTATAAAAAGAGATAAAATTATCTAGATAGTAATAAAGAATAACTTCAAAATAATAAAAGATATCTAAGCCTCTCCAGCACTGAAAAAGACCTCCAATATAAGTGTAAACATCAGCTGTCAATTAAGATATTTTACTATTTTGAAGCTTTCCATAGACATTACTTTATAGTGGAGAAAATGTAATTCCCTTTTTAGAAGATTGCCTATTTATTAAAATTGAGGAAAACATGGCAGTAGGGAAAGAAATACCTAGTAAGATAATTTAGATTTAAATTTGTACTGAAATGTTGGCACAAGTGGTCAAGTCAAACTTGATAAAGAACTACAACTTAAGAAGAAACATTAGCACACAATAAAGCATATATTCCGCGATACAGACCCCTTTTTACCAAGATTATTAAGATCCATCTATACTTAGTGAATTCAATTCTATACTTGTTGTAACCAACAAGCTTTTTTTTCTATGAAAATTCTTGGAAATAAGGCATTTTTAATCTAGATATCAGTAAACTTTGTCTATTTAATGAGGCACTCAAAACTGAAGAACATCTATTTGCTTTCCAATTTAATTATAAGATAATTTTACCACAAAATAAAATAAAAGGGTGGCTTACAATATTAAGCAATTTAGCATGACTTCCACCCTCCAACATGTCAAAATAAAGAGATTGAATTGGCCAAACAGCACAATATTTTTGTATGTCACTTTTTTTCTTTATTAGGTGATAAAATTATCTTACAATTCAAGTGGAAAGTAAATGGGTACTTATGAGTTTTAGTAGCTCATTTAATGAGAAAAAGCCTAATTTCTTCTGATTTATTATATATCAATCGATTTGTTTTTGTGTGTAATATAAGAAAAATATATTGTTAATTGTATTAAATGAATTCCAATGTATAATAAATCACAAAACCCAAAGACGCTTCCAGTAAAGTAGGCCAAATAAATTTTTGTCATGAAAAATCGATTCAGATTCGTTTTTAGCATCCACTAAAATTAGTACTGACCTTAGGAATAAAGTGGGTTCAACTATTTATTTAAGGTTAAACAAAGTTGAGATTTGTATTGTTCACCTCAAAAAACTCTTAAATAAGTTTTCATATCAATCTAATAACAATTTTTTTTAACATGATCTTTTTGCCTAGAATGGACCCTCCAATTTGTCTTCGAAAATCATTAATATTGCGATAACTTCAACAAAGCTCCACTTATTCATACGAAAGTTAGCATGAATTTAGGGACCTATAAAACACACAAAATAGCACAAGCCAAACGGCCGAGAATAAATCAGGCTTGGAGACAAAAAATAAAAACGAATCTGAATAGATTTTTATAGGTCCCTAAATTCATGGTAACTTTTGTATGGATAAGTGGAGCTTTGTTAAAGTTATCGCAATTTTAGTGATTTTCGAAGATAAATTGGAGGGTTCATTCTAGGCAAAAAGATCATGTTAAAAAAAATTGTAATTCGATTGATATGAAAACTCTTATTTAAGAGTTTTTTTAGGTGAGTAATACAAATCTCAACTTTGTTTAACCTAAAATAAATAGTTGAACCCACTTTATTCCTAAGGTCAGTACTAATTTAAGTGGATGCTAAAAACCAATCTGAATCGATTTTTCATGACAAAAATGTATTTAGCCTACTTTACTGTAAGTGTCTTTGCGTTTTTGTGATTTATTATACATTAGAATTCGTTTAATACAATTAGCAATATGTAAAAAAACATTATAAAACATATATTATAAAAAAATATAATACACACAAAAACCAATCGATTGATATATAATAAATCCGAAGTCCATGCAGAACATTCAGAACATGGTAATATAAAAAAATAATAAACTTTTATAAAATATTTTCCTTCTGCCTCATGGCATTGGCAAGAATCCTCGGACATGATTCTTATATTTTTGACCCAGTATCACCAAAAATTTTCATTGAAATTGGGGAACTCATGTCCGTAACCTTCCATTTTAGTTTTAACATAATTTCTACACCATTTATTTTAGACATTGAAACAGTTCCAGACAAGTAAATGGAATTAATAGATTTACAGAATGACACGGATTTAAGAAATAAATTTCAAAATGATGATATTCATATTTTATGTTAAAATTAAAGAATTTTAGAAAAATTCTAACGTGTGCGAACAAAAGCAAAACAAAAGTAATGATACTTTTTGAAAGCTCCTATATTTCCAAACAATTATTTTCCTTCAAGAAAATAATTAAAAAGTATCTTTGAATATTTTAATCATATAACTATAAATATATATATATATATATATATATATATATATATATATATATATATATATATATATATATATATAGAGAGAGAGAGAGAGAGAGAGAGAGAGAGAGAGAGAGAGAGAGAGAGAGAGAGAGAGAGAACATCATTTTATTAATACTATATTATATTATAAAATTTTTCATAAATTACATATTAGATATTAGTTTATATATATAAACAGAGTTTCGTTTCTCTAATGTGGTAGCTGTCAAACACTCTGTGTTTTGGGTATGTTTCCCTACTT